GAAAGATAGCAAGGGTGATGCCTTGCAATGGGTCAAGATGTCACAACAAGAAATGCTGTCTGGCTGGGAATTCACTTTTTGCTAAAGAATTTCTCAGTGAGTTTTTACACAATCAATAAAATATACAGACAGGGCACTTCGAGGAGGACAGCTGATCATTTCAGTAACAACATTATACACAGGAAATAAAAAGAGTCCGTCTGAAAGTACTGGGAGTTTACCAAAAAAATAACTCCCCCTCTACTTTCCGATTTCTCTTCTTCTTTCCACTTCTCCGAAACAATCACTGTTTTCGAAAGGTCAGAGACAATTTTATTCTTTCTGCCTTTCATTTGTAGCCGCCTGCTTACATGTTAATGGAAATATGGTTTTGATACACACACACACATTTTTTTCTTAATAAATTCACCGTTAAGGAGGCACTGACTCACTGCATTGCTTTCTAACTCGGCTACTCTTGGGTGAAACTTCTGGGGATACTCTGGAGCTGGTCAGTTTTATATTACAGGTGGACACCATTTTTTAGCAGTTTTGCGGTTTCAGGTGCTTTTTTGCCTTCTTGTTACTGTAAAAAAAAAAGTTTTCCATTTAAAAACATTTTCCCCCTGCAGCCCATTAATTTCCCCTGCGAACTAAAGGCTTTAAAATGGTCACGAAAATGAAAAATAAACAGAATAGCAAATGCATCGGGGTTTCAAAAGAGCGTATTGTGCAGACATAGTAGCTACTTTCTCAGGACTTTCGTGACTCTGCACATGCGTGGTAGGGCTTAAAATGGGGTTTAGGCAGCAGAATTTTTCAAGCCTTGATGAACTCCCAATGATATAAAGTGCTAGGGCTATTGTGTTAATAACCTGAAAATGAGGAGTTTCAGACGATGTGCACTGTAGTGACAGACAGATCCAGAGACCAGGATCCTCCGGTATCAGCAATCAACCCTTAAGAATATCTTTTGATTATGTAGCTCGGTCGCCTCTTCTGTCCATATTAGAAATCTATCTAGGAGACAGGGATGCAACAGGCTGTTGGCACCCAGAATAAGCCACTGGGCTTCTTACAGCACAGCCCGGTGAGGGATCGTTCAGATACCCGTCCCTAACATGGATGGCAGGATTTTTAAGGTCTCTGCTGGACGCTTCGCAGTTGAAACGCCGCGATCAGACGCGGGGGCTGGAGCAGCTTCTTTGAGTCAGAGCTGAGGGGCTGCAGGGCATAGGATCGGACCCAACAACGCAACGAGAACATTTTTTGTCTTGCTCTTACGAAACCGGGTTCCCAAAAATGAAATTCCCGTGCGTGCACGAGCCGGAATCCAAAAGAGGAAAGGTCTGGTTTGAAGCCAGAGGCTCCTGTTGCCCTCCTGTCCATGACTCGAGAGTTTTGCCCCTGCCGATCATATTTACATGCCGTGAACCCACAGAGGCTCAGTGCTGGGCACAGATCATGTGTCCCAAGCGCCCAGCGCACGGATCACCGGAGTCCTCGAAGGGTTTGCTCGCACAGGGTCCATCTCTTCCCCTCCGCCCCCCCCCCAACCACACACACTGCTTTCACACACACTCCTAATCAATTACTAATGCTCCTGCTGGATAAAAGCATGTTATTGATGCCAGAATAGCAACGTTAATCTTCTATTGCCAAACACAGTGTCAATCAGGGGTTTATCTTAGCCCAAAGGAGAAAATAAAATAAGATAAGGCCATCACTCCAGCTCCAGAAAGAAAGTTAAAGGGGGCGAGAGAGGGTAAAGTCTTTAGTGCCCTGTGCCTTTTCCTGAAAGTGATCTCTGCTGTAATGACCTTGGAGGGGGGGAAGGGGGGTGGGGTGGAGGGGATCGACCCAAACGGTCAGAATCATTCACGGAAAAACGCTGCCCAAGTGACACCTGCAATTTTTCTTCCCCCGCCTTCCCATAACTCGAGTCAGGAACGGCTCTTAATACCACTTGCGGTACAGCTATGTCTGAAAGACAGGCACTTAGAGCGGGAGGTCATTCAAGCAACTTTGTCATCCTAGGAAACTTAGTTTCTTCCTCCCGATCAGTATTAACTAAAACAGACATGCCCGTGTAGCGAGCTGCCCCGGGAATAAAACGGGTTTAGTTTATTCCCTTGTGATCGGTGCCCCTTGGATGGACCTGGGATGTCTCTGTCTCGTGCACGTGTGAAGGAGTCTCTGGTCCGTGCTCTCTCACACCGAGCTGTATGCAGTGATCTCTCCTTCTGTATAAATATACCAGTCTGCGGAACATCTCTGCGTTAAAGGCATCCTCACCGCTTCAACAAATAGGCATTTTTTCTTTTTGGCCTCTGATTTCCTTCTGGAAAGGCCGATTTTCCCTTCACGTTTGAAGAGACATTCCCCCCCGCCCCCCTTGAGCAATTTATATGGGGGGGGGGGATACGTTTCTTTCCTTTTGCCAAGCAGGTTATTTTCCTGCAGAAAAGTCATATCTGGACCGCGATGGCAACAGTTCTACTAAAGAAGCAGGCACTCCTTGTACCAGTCACATCCCCTCTGTCTCATGGTTTTGGTTTTTGATTTTTTTGTTGGTGTTTACACGGGCATTTGTGCCTGTGAACTTTCCGCTTTCAGACACTCAAATCTGGGCAGTAGCTGTGCAAGAAAAATCAATTACAAAACGTTCAGGGACAATGGCTAAAGGGGG